AGGTCTGAGTTGCCATACTGTGGAGCACTAAACCTTGACCCGCGCAGAGCTTGTCCTTCCAAGTTTTTCACACTTACTTCAGTCTTTGAAAGAGTAGGGGAATTCACTGCATACAAATAATGAACAGGTACTGAGGATACACTCCAGCAGTTTTCTGTGGAAAATGCAAATAATAGGAGGGGGAAAGACAATCACACTAGATTTCATGTAAATAGTTTAATTATATTTCAATGCTTAAAACACAGAAACACTTGAATTAAATTACATCATAATGCTTCTGCTAAATTGTACATATATTTCCAAGAACTGTGAGAGGAGGCGCTATTGAACTAAAAGAATACTCCAGTAGAAGCCCAGCAAATACCCATAATATTCTTTTAGTCTTATTATCTGTACTTCTTTAATCTAAGGGCAGTCATCACAGGACAAAGCCTACCATTACAGGAAGAATGGTTGGAGAATGCCTCTGTAGGTGTGTTTGTTATACAAGAAACATCTCAGCATTAACGTTTAACAAGGTGCATGTTTTTGCACCTGAGCTGGCAGATGCACTGCTTGGCAGCTGCTTGTGCAGCACATGGAGTTGGGTAAAAAGCACAAAGTAGGCTGTTGGTTTGAGGAAACAGCTCAGCTTACACTTGCCTTTCATCGAGTTCAAAACAACAAATGAAGTTCCAATTCTAAGAGTTCTAGGGGAAACGTTGCGATTTAGGACAGCCATGCACCCCTACTGCCGCTTGCATCCCTGTCCTGCTGCAGAGCGTGGGAGTGTGACAGGCAGCGACGTGCCAGCTGCTGAAGGGAGTAATCTGCTGTCTCTGTGGCTGGCTGCCCTCAGCGAGCACTTGGAGGAAATGGTAAGTGTGCATGTGAGGGGGGGGGGTGATGTATTTGCTTCTCAGCTGGTCACGTAGGCATTACCTCTGGGAAGACCCACAGACAGTGTCAAAGTTCTAAGGACCTAAGCCAGATTACATTGAGTATTTGTACCCACGCACCTTCCTTCCAACAGTATCCCTGGAGTGCAAACACCAGCAGCAACCAGCAGCCTGGGAGTGCCTCCTGCCAGATCTCCTGGGTATGGAGGATGGGCTGTTTTTCACAGGTGATGACACTCCTAGCCCTAATACACTCCCAGAACTCCCAGGTTTTAAAAAGAAAGAGGGATACTGAAAAATTAAAGCAACTTAGCCCTGCAAAACTGCCATGGGGGAAGCTGTGTCAGTGAAGGAGGGAGGACTGGTAAGGAACTGTGCACTGCAGGGGTCAGTGGCACATGCCCAGGAAAGAGTCTGCATTTAATGAATATGGAAAGAAAAAATCACAGTGGGGAAGAAAAAAAGAAAAAGATTTGGGAGAACAAAAACTAACTGTCAGGTCCAAACTTGCAACAAAGCACGATACCTGCATTGCCACTCAGTGAAACATCTCCTTGCATAAAGCCTACCTTTAGATCTGCATTCAAATTTTGGCTTGCCCTGATTCCCTTTTGACTGGTGCTGTGGATGGAATATCATCTGACTGACAAATGCACGTACTGCAAAAAAATCAGGAGGTGATTAGTGCGTGGCTGGGCACTGATGCTTGCATGCAGGCTCTGCTGCTGGTCCCTGGCCGCTGTGCTGGCCTGCAGCACTCAGGGCTGGTGGCCACCAAAAGGCTCTGCAGCGGACAGCCCCCATGCCGCACTGCAGCATGCCAAGGTGGCCAGAGACCCCTTCACACTCTCTCCCTTCCGCAGCTCTGAACGACACACAGGCAGAGGGTTACACGCTTCAGGGTTACAGGGAAACTCCTGGCTTACCTGTCTAGTCCCACGTTCTGCATTAGCAGGTAACATGAGCAGAGGCTAACACAAAGCTCCATGTTTCCTTCAG